GCTAAGTTGCCTCTTCTTGACGCCATCTTCCACACCACGGCAAAGATAATAGCGTCCATAAGCTGCGGCAACAATCCAACTGCAAGATCAGAGAAAGCCAGACTTATGAACATCTACCTGGCGTTGGCTGGTATCGTTTAGGCTTTTATTAAAGCGCGGATAACTAAAAGATTTCCAAGAGTCGCCACGAGGGAAAATGTAAAGTGTGAAACACAGAAAGCAGGGATGGAAGATCTGCTGTGGTGAACAAGTTTTAAAAAGGAATCAAGCATTTGACTGCAGTACTGTTCAGCCATGGTTTAACTTGTCAAATTATATAGATGAGTTTTTCATTTTGGTAACATATCCACATTAATTACCCCCTCGGTTAATTAGGTACCTTTCAAAATAGCCATCTGCTGTGAACGTTATATAGTCGGTTCATTAACTAGAGCTTTAGACTCAATGTTTATAGTTACAGTGCGAACAGAAATTCTTATTGTTGGTACAAAATTTTAAGGTTTGAAAAACCGAATCAAATTGTAAACCAGGCCAACTCAGAAAACGATGCAAGGGGAAGGCTTTGCGACATTAGTATTAAAAACAAAGCAATTAAACACCGTAATATATAGTCCTTTTCCATCAATTTCCAATTACCTCTCTGTCCATAATTGACATGTGAGCTACTCTCTGCTAAGAGGAACCGCTTGTTTAATTGAAAACGATCGGTAGAAAAATAGAACGTTAAATCATTGGAAAACGTTGAAAGAGCGAGTTTTTTTCTAAACTGATCCGACCAGCAAATGATTTACACATAGTAAAATAATGATTTTGTTTTGTTTAATTCTATTCTTTCATTTAAACTTTTAAGCAGTCTTTCAGTTTGAAAAATTTAGCACTTGTTCCTTAGTTCGAGGTGTCGTCATCGAGGCTTTTGAGTCTTCAAAGCCAGTGATGTTTTTAAAAAAGGACTGGAAAGTAATTAGCCTCAACTGGGGACTTACGACGGTGTTATGTAGTCCGAATGGACTAGCGCACAGTGAGCCCAATAACCTTGCTCGTTTGTAAACTCTTCCCCACTAAATGCACAAAAATCAGGATTCCAGTGTATAAATTTGGAACTGTCTTTCGCTCTCGATTGCCCAGAATAAAATAATACGCATCTTGAAAGTGACACGTTCGTCATGTTCTTGTGTCTCCGACATCAGTCAGTGGAATTTGAAATGCTTTCTCTCGACGAAGATCTAAAACCATTTTTTGCAAGAATTATACTTGTCACATATTAACCCTTTAAATTGTAATGTCTATTTTCAAATTCACATTTGTTGTCTTTATACATTTCCTATAATAGTAGTTGGGAGAAGTTGTTAAAGAATCTGTGTGATCATGTCCATAATTCTCATGACCGCTCCGTTTTCTAAAGTATAGGTATTACAAGGAGAACTTTGATGCTGATCAATCTTAGGGCTGAAAGGGCTAAGCAAAGTTAGACCATCACATGACAAGATCCTCATAACTTTGTTCCTGTGATAAATTTGTGAAAGTTATAACGGTGACCACTTTACTAGTCATGTGTCATTTCCCAATTTCTCAACACCATTTCCATTTTTTAATAGACTATTCTTTTTCGTTTTACATTTTTGATTTTCTTTTGGCGTAAAGCAAGTCCATTATTTTTCTTACTAAAGTTCGTTTTCCAGACTTCGCAAAGACACTGAAAAGACTGTCAGTTCAAACTATCCAGAGCTCAAATTCCTTCCCGATGACATGTTCTCGTTCATGTGAAATAGTTGCTTTACTGTGCTTTTTACACTTTGGCGAATCTCTGGGTACCGCCAACAATAAACAAAAGGATTTAATGATGAATTCAGGTAAATCAAGAATATCGACGCAAAATAAGCTACGAGAAATGAAATTTCAGAAGTGTTTGTCCAATACAACATTGTACTGGGCAAAAAAGGAAGATGACAAGCTAAGAAAACTACAGAGACAAATAAACTATTATAGGCGGATTTTCTTCGTTTGTGTGCCTCTCTTGTTTGGGCATTTTGAAGCTGATTTTGACTGTATATCTGATTCTGATGATATCTGACAACTTTGTAAATACGAACATACGCCAAGGTTGTCAGAAAATATCCTATAACGGAAATAACCGCAACTGCCATTGCAATTCCTTTCAGAAGGGAAATAACTAGGAAGGCAGAGACACAAGTTGTTAACCATAAAGACACCAACAATATTGTAACACGTATGGGCGTGACAAGCTCCTGATATCGTAGATAGAGCGAAACAGCGAGAAGTCTATCAAATGCAATGACAATAACATTCAGGAAAGACGCAAAGGCGAGAAGATTCTGAAAATATAAATGGACAATCAAGACTGTTGGACAAAAGAAGGCTAAGTCGTCTCTACTTGATGCCATCTTCAACATTACGGCACTGATAACGGCGAACATTAGCTGCGGTAACAATCCAACTGCAAGATCTGAGAAAGCCAGACTTAGGAACAGCTTCTTGACGGTGGCTGGTATCGTTGAGTTCTTCATTAAGGCCCGGATGACTAAGAGATTTCCTAGAGTCGCCACGAGGGAAAATACATAGTTTAAAACACAGAAACCAAGGAAGAAACTTCTCCTGTAGGAAACCAGTTTAACGGAAAAATCCAGAAAGTGGGTGCAGGTCTGTTCAGCCATAGGTTTACTTGTATATATACAATATGCATGTATTTTTCGTGGTTAAAACTGATATCTACATTGATTACCCATCCGTTTATTAGCTACTTTCCACATCGGCCACCTGCTGTAGCGCGTAATAAAGCCGGTTTATTAACTAAAGCCTTAGACTTAATGATATATGTAGAGTGCAAAAAGAAATTCACTGTTATTGTTGGTTTAGATTTTTAAGGGCTGAAACACCGAATCAAATTGTATAAAACAAGGCGAACCCAGAAAAAGTTTCAAGGGGAAGGTTTTGCAACACTAGTATTGAAATCAGGACACCCGATATATAGTCCTTTCCATAAAGTTCCAATTACCTCTTTGTCCATAATTGACATGTGTGCTATGGCCTGCTAAGAAGAACCAATTGTTTTTGAAATTGCAAATGCTCGTTATAGGAAAAAGAACTTTAATTTATTCTAAAACGTTAAAAGGGCGAGCTTTTCCTCTAAATTTAACCGTTCAGCAAAATTTTTGAAACATGATAAAATACAGATGGATTTTGTTTAGTTCTATTTTTTTATTTAAAATTTTAAGCATTTTGACACAATACTTCAGTTTTAAAACGTTTAGCACCTGTTTCAGTAGTAGTTAGTAAGGTGACGTCCAGTCAGCGAGGCTTTTTAATCTTGCAAGTCGGTGAGGTTTTTATAACTGGACTGGAGCCTAACATTATGGACTGTTTTCGTCTTCCTTCGTCTTTCTTTGAGATTTGTCTCAAATGTAGACTTGCGACGGTTTTTCTGAATTGACTAGCGCACAGCGAATGACCTTGCTTATTTGTAAACTATTTTCGAATGCGAACGAGTATATGTGTTCGTCTCTATAGATCCTCAACATTGCAACTTCCGCTGTAGGCTTACGACAAGCCGTAGGGCGCGTCTTCTCTCGTACCCAGATCTCTCATGGCCAAGCGGAAGAGAGACTTCACTCTTTCAATGGACACATACAGTCAGTTGTAAGCTACTACTTTGGCTGTCGATTGCTTGGATGGAAATCTATTACAGCTTGAACAATGGCCATTTTGTCACATTGTTACTTATTCTTTGCAAGAATCGGTACAATGACGCTTGTAAGCGTTAAGGTTCTTGAGCCATAGCAAACACAGTTTTGTCCATAAAAGGGGGAAATCCTATTAATTTTTTCTCTTTAAGATGTTCGTTGACGATGAAAAAGGGAACTGAGTTTCATTAAGTAGGTGCCCTAAAGCTGTCTTCTTTTTTCGCAATTGGGAGAGACCAGATCGTGTTTTGAAGAATTCAATCTTAGGTAGTTAGTTATTACAAAAATCGCCTTGCATCCCAATGTTTAAAATGCTGAATTGAAATTCTCTTGCATATGTTTTTTTTTTTGCGCTGTAAGTCCATTACATTTCGTGGAAGTCGTAGACAGAATTTAGTTCAAAGGTGTCTGCTTTCAGGTTCTCTATTGAGAGACCAATTCCAATTGTAGCGACCAATTTTCTTCCGTCTACAACACCTTTCCTTGGTCTTTGGGCTTAGCAAGTCCATTCGCCACTTTTAAAACGATTTGGGCCGAAATATTTCCCTCAATTTTTTCTGGGATTGTTACTCAGGTGGGGAGGCGCCCATCAGCGCGGTCATTTTTGGTCATTTTTCCCTTGTCCCTAGTAACAGTCCCTAGTAACAGTCTTTGCGAAAGTTAACTCGTCCCAGTTTCCTTCTAGAATTGCTCGTTCTCACTAAATTTCGTCTCGTAGAACTTCGCATCCTCAGGTCATATTTTCGTCCAAACGAAGTATTTTCTTCATTGTGCTTTTTACAATTTGGCGAATCTCTCGGTACCGCCAACAATAAACAATTGGATTTAATGTTGAATTCAGGCAAATTAAGAATAACGACGCACATTTGGCTATGAGAAACGAAATTTCAGAAGTATTAATCAAGTACAATATTACAGAAGGCAAAAAAGGAAGACAACAAACTAGAAAAACAAAATAGACAAATAAAGCATTATAAGCGGACTTCCTGTGTCTGAGTGCCTCCCTTGTTTGTGCATTTTGAAGCTGATTTTGACTGTATATCTGATTCTGGTGATATTTGACGACTTTGTAAATACGAACATATGCCACTGTTGTCAGAAAATACCCTACCAGTAAAATAACTGCAGCTACCATGTCATTGCTTTTCGGAAGGAAAATGTATATCAAGGCAGTGATAAAACTTGTTCACCATATAGATATCAATACTATAGTGACACGTTTGGACGTGACAAGCTCTTGATATCGCAGATGGAGCGAAACAGCGAGAAGTCTGTCGAATGCAATGGTCGTGAGAGTTAGGAGAGATGCAGCGCAGAGAAAAAAGAAGAGATATAACCACAAATTTATAACTGTTGGACAGAGTGACGTTAAGTTGTAATCTTGTTTTGATGCTGTGTTCAGTATCACGGCAAAAATAATGCCGGCCATTAGCTCTGACACCAATCCCACCCCAAGATCAGAGAAAGCCAGACTAAGGAACAGCTTCTTGACGTTGGCTGGTATTGACGAAGCTTTGAATAAGGCGCGAATTACTAAAATATTTCCAAGACTTGTCACGAGAGAAAACGCGAAGTTTGAAACACAGAGAGAAAAGAAGAAAGATTCTCTGTAACGGGCAAGTTGTAGAAATTCTTCCAACGTTCGATTGCAGTACTGTTCCGCCATTTTTTATCTTGCCGGTTGTTTTTCAAGCATTTTACATTAGTCACCTCTTCTCCGTTCGTTTTTTAAAATAGTCGACTACTTTGACGCTCGATGTTAATGTAGACGGTTTAATATGCCTCAAACGCAGTGTGTATTGTTTGTAGAGTACAGGGTTGTATGGTCGTTCATTGACATACATAATGAAAACACAACGTTTAAAATGTGCGTTTCCATCAAGTTCCAATTACCTCTTTGTTGATAACTGAGATGCGAGTAGTTTCAAGCTTGGAAAGATGTGCTTGTTTAATCTAAAACGGCTGGTTTAACAATAGAAGGTTAAATCATTCTAAAAAGTTGAAACGGCGAGGTTTTTCTCTCAATTTAACCGACCAGCCGAAAGTCTTTGAAACATAATAAAGTAGTGATGGATTTTTTAAGTTCTATTCCTTTTTAAAATTTTAAGCCATCCGACGCAAACTTTCAGTTTGAATAATTTGACACCTGTTTCGTAGTTTAATGTGACGTCAGCGAGGGTTTTGCGTTTTCAAAGCCGGTGAGGTTTCTGGAAGGGACTGGAACCGAATATTTTGGGCTGTTCTCGTCTTCCTTCTTTTTTCTTTCAGATAACTCTCAAAAATTTATGCAAAACTTGCTATGTAAAAGTCTGGATGGACCACTGTACAGCGAGCGCGACTGGCCTTCCTCTTTTGTTAACTCATTTCTTGTCAAAATGCTCTTTTTTAACTTTAAGATTAATACAAGCAACCACAGTACAAAGAGTTTTTGCTTTTGTCCATATATAGACGTTATATATCCAGAAACTTCCTTACATGAACACATTTTGCCTACCTTGTTTGCTCAGTTTCAAGCTGATTATGACTGCTTATCTGATTCTGGTGATATTTTACATTTTTATGAATACGAACATGTGCCACGGTTGTCATAGTATATTCTACAATGCAATTGTCCGCGACTACCTTGTCATTGCTTTTTGGAAAGAGAATGTGAAGTATAAAACAACGAAAGCAAGGCGGGAAGTTCTCCTGTAGCGAGTAAATTTTAACAAAAAATTCAACGCTTGAGTGCAGCACTGTTCAGCCATGGTACGACGGCGCTGATAACCCCGGACATGAGTTGCGGAAACAACCCCACGGCAAGATCAGAGAAAGCCAGACTCAAAAACAGCTTCTTGACGGTGGCTGGTATCGATGAGGCATTGAACAAGGCCCGGATCACTAAAAGATTTCCAAGAGTGGCCACAACTGAAAACGCCAGGTGTAAAACACAAAAGGCCAGCATAGAATCTCTCTTTTGGAGAACGAATTGCTCAAATTCATGTAGCTTTGCAGTACAGAACTGCTCGGTCATGGTTAAACCTGCCAGATGATTTATTGCGTGTTGCTTTAGTTTAAAAGTCTCAATCAGACTCATCGGTTATAGGCTAATTTTGTTAAACAACTGGAAACTAAAGGCTTGATTGGTCAGTAAATCGTCAAACATTGAGACTGCGAGCAGTCTCTTGTTTTTCTTGGCAAAGTTACTGCACGCGAACGGCGAAGCTGCGATAAACGAGGGCGAAAACCCGAGAAGGAAAATATAGTAATATAACGTCGCGGTTTGCAATCGCGCTGGCTGAGATAACAACTAGACGGATTTTAAGAGAAACAGCGGACTGCAAGCAGTCTATCAAACACTTTAAAATGCTTTCAAGGCGAAATGGTTTTCCTTCTTATTCAAAATTGCTTTCACTAACCGGCAAATATGTGAAGCATAGAAGACCTATTTAGGCCTATTTGGGGTTAAATAGGCGTAAATGCGTTGTTTAGTGAGTGTTCTTTCAAGATTTTAAAACAATTCCACGTTTGTCTTCAACAAGTGACAGCGCCACTAACCCTTTTACGTGTCGTTGAATCTCTCAGCTGAGGATAAGATGTTGGTTCTGGAGACATAGTGTGGGGGTGGAGGGTGGGGAAGTAGCCGCGCGACCTTAAGTGTGACAAGCGTCCCATGATAGCAGCTGAAAACTAATAGAACCTGTTCAGTCCTTAATTCTTAATTTGACAGTCTGTAGTTGTTTTTGTTACTAAACAAGAGAATTTGCCACTCAATCGTCTGTTACCAAGCAGTTAGAGCCTCTCTTTTTCTAAACTTAAATACGGTCCTTTCGGATTGAACCGCAGAAAGTTTAGCCGGCATTTGACAAATTTATTGAAACTGAACGAGATAGATGAGTCTTAAACAGTTTTAAGTGAAGTTTTTCGGTTTGTTGTCATCCAGAAATTTCGCCACTATGGCAACGTGACGTAACTACTTCCCCTCTCTATTAAACACCGCAATATATGGTCCCTTTCCATTAAGTTCCAATTACTTCTCCGTCCATGATTGAGATATGAACTGTTTCCAGCTGGGAAGGATGTGCTTGTTTAATTAAAAACGCTTGGTGTAATAATAGAACCTTAAATCATTCTAAAACGTGGAAACTACTAAAATGATATAAAAAATGACACAAACGTTGTAAAAGAGTGATAAATGTTGTTAACTTTTGTGCGTTCTTTTGAAGTTTTTAATAATCGGATGCAAGTTGTTATATTGAAAAATTTAGCACCTGCTTTGTGACGTCAGAAAGGCTTTTGAGTCTTCCGTTAAGGTTTCTGAAAAAGGACTGGAGCCTAATATTTCCGGGGTTCTCGTCTTCCTTTGTCTTCCTTCAAAATTTTGTTTAGTTCTAGTCAATTAACGGCAACCTTATTTTAGAGAAACCATTCCGTCCATATACACGGCCTGCGTTCTTGTTGGTCAGCATCGAGGTAGCTGACAAGAACATTCTTTGTCCGCAGACCCAACAAGCGGGCTCAGTGGTGGAGACTTTAGCCGTATATAACACTGGAAGCTGATCAAGATATTTGAGGGACTAGTTAAGAACGGAAAACGTCGCAAAAGCTAACGTTGGAAATGTGTAGAGTTTCTTGTACGGCCATTCTGTCGTTGATGAACCTTTCAACAGGCAACAGTGCTCCAAAATCTTAATTGTGCTCATAAAGACGTCTGATTTTGGCCTGTTCCTACCGTTGATTGATATGATTTTAGGGAATTGTCTTTTTTCGATGAGAGGAATATGCCATTACAAAGCGTAGTTGATTGTGTTTAAGGTGCTAAAAGTGGCTTGTGGTCTGTGAGCGAAATGAAAACAAGAACAGATTTGTATCATATGTGGACTCGCGATGGTATAGGCGGATTTGTTCAAAGGTTGCCTAAGTTACTAGATATTGAAGTGTGTTTGTTCGTTTCTTAGGAGCTTCGAGAATAGAAGTTCCGCGGTGAGACGCGCCTAATGTCATACCCAGATCTCTCACGGCCAAGCGAATGGGAGATTTTACTTTTTTTACTTTTTTTTTTGTCTTTGTCTGTATTTAAAAATACAGACAAAGATACAGTTATAAGAAACTACTCCGGCTGTTGATTGCTCTTTCACACTTTGAAAGTGGCGATTTTGTCACATTGTTACGTTTTCTTTGGCAGTAAGCGTTAAAATGACTTTTGTAAGACCTTTTCTCGAAACCACCAGGGGTCTTGGTGCCATAGTTAACACAGATTTGTCCGTAAAAGGTGAAAATCCTCACACTGGGGCAGGCTTGTCTCTTTTAGAAGTTGGTTTACGATAAAAACGGTAGCTGAGTTTCAGGCATGGTTTCACTTGTAAAGACTATAAACATGAATTTGTCCTTTCGATGAAATATCTACATTAATTACCTTCTCCGTTAATTAGTTACCTTTCGTAACAGTCATCTGCTGTGACACGTTATATAGATGGTTCTGATTAACTAACTACTAAGACTGTATGTTTATAGGTAGAGTGCAAACAAAAATTCAGTCTTGTTGTTGGAATGAATTTTAAGGGTTGAAAGATCGAATGATTGTAGACAAGACCAATCGGGGAAAGGGGAAAACAAGGGGAAGGTTTTGTGACACAAGTATTGAAAGCAAAACAATTAAACAGCGAAATACATTGTATATAATCCTTTCCCATTAATTTCAGATTACGTTTCCGTCCGTAATTGAGATCTAAGGTGTTTAATTGAAAACGATTGGTATAAAGATAGAACATTAAATTATGTAAAAAGTTGAAAGGGCGCGCTTTTTGTCGTAATTGATCCAACCAGCAAATGATTTACACATTATAAAATAATGATGGATTTTGTTCAGCTCTACTCTTATTTAAACTTTTAAGCAATCGGACGCAAACTTTTAGTTTGAAAAATTTAGCAACTGTTCCTTAGTTGAAGGTGAACTCTGAACCATTCCGTATTGTTAGCCGTCATAATATGCACTCTGGATCGTTTGGAGGATCGAAAATGGTGCGGGTTGATTGGCTTTTATCCAGCCAATCAGGGTGCTGTAGTTTGGATCCATCTTTTCTGAAAGCTTTAGACACTAGGTTGTGTTTTTATAAAGGTTAAAATTTGGAAAGCAAAGCAAAGTATACAAACATATCGTTTAAATGTATATCATGTGTGATTGTTCCTCAAAGTGGCAACGGATTATGAGTGAGTAACTGTAACGGATGACAGACTTCACATATATGTCGGCGTGCAACCGTTGAGAACGTTGAGAAGTTTATTAACAAGGTCTCGTTTCACAATTTATCAACACCAGTTCCAGTTTCTAACAGAATATTCTGTTTCGTTTTACATTTCTCATTTTCTTTGCACCAAAATAAGTCCANAACTGTAACGGATGACAGACTTCACATATATGTCGGCGTGCAACCGTTGAGAACGTTGAGAAGTTTATTAACAAGGTCTCGTTTCACAATTTATCAACACCAGTTCCAGTTTCTAACAGAATATTCTGTTTCGTTTTACATTTCTCATTTTCTTTGCACCAAAATAAGTCCATTGGTATCCTTACCATATTTCGTTTTGCAGACCTTGCAAACGACACTGGAAAGACTTTCAGTTCAAACTATCCGAAGCTTAAAATCGTGTCTCATGTCACGTTCTCGTTCATATTAAATAATTTCTTCACTGTGCTTTTTACACTTTGGCGAATTTCTCGGTACCGCCAGCAATAAACAAGAGGATTTTATGATGAATTGAGGAAGATCAAGAATAACGATGCTTAATAAGCTACGGAAAACGTAATTTCAGAAGTATTTGTCATGTACAGTATTGATGAAGGCAAAAAAGGCAGATAACAAGCTAGAAAAACAAGATAGACAAATATAGCATTATAGCCGACTTCTTTTGTCGGAGTACCTCCCTTTTTTGTTCAACTTGAAGCTGATTTTGACTGTGTATCTGATTCTAGTGATATTTGACGACTTTGTAAATACCAACATATGCTACGGTGGTCAAAACATACCCTATCATTAAAATAACTGCGGTTACTATTTCATTGCTTGTCGAAAGGAAAACGAATATGAAGGCGGTGATACAACTTATGAACCACAAAGACACCAATGCTATATTAACACGTTTGGGTGTGATAAGCTCCTGATATCGTAAATGGAGCGAAACAGCGAGAAGTCTATCAAATGCGATGACAATAACATTCAGATAAGATGCACTGGCGAGAAGATACCTAAAATAATTTTGCACACCCAAAACTGTTGGACAGAAGAAGGCTGTGTTGTTTCCACTTGATGCCATCTTCAATATCGAGGCGCTGATAATAGCGGCCATAAGCTGCGAACACAGTCCAACTGCAAGATCAGAGAAAGCAAGACTTAGGAACAGCTTTTTCACAGTAGCTGGTTTCGTTGAGGCTTTCATTAAGGCGCGAATAACTAAAGGATTTTCAAGAGTCGCCACCACAGAAAATACAAAGTCTAAAACACAAAAAGCAAGGAGGGAAGATCTTCTGTGATGAACAAGTTGAACCAAGGAATCAAGCGCACGAGTGCAGAACTGTTCAGCCATGGTTTAACCTGTCAAATTGTATAGACGAATTTTTCCTTTTTGCTGAAATATCTACATTGATTACCCCCTCGGTTAATTAGCTACCTTTCATAAAAGCTATCTGCTGTGTCACGTTCATTAACTAAAGCTATAGACTTAATTTTTATAGTTAGAGTGCATACCGAAATTCCTATTGTTTGTTAAAAAATTTTAAGGTTTAAAACACCGAATCGAATTGTAAACAAGGCCAACTCAGAAAACAAGGGGAAGGTTTTACGACATTAGTTTTGAAAACAAAACAATTAAACACCGTAATGTATAGTCCTTTTTCATCAAGTTCCAGTTTAATACCTCTCTGTCCATAATTGAGATGTGAGTTACTCCCTGCTGAGAGGAACCAGTTGCTTAATTGGAAAAGATCAGTACAAAAGTAGAACGTTAAAATCATTATAAAACGTTGAAAGAGCGAGTATTTTCTGTTTATTGATCCGACCAGCAAATGATTTACACATATGAAATAATGGTGGATTTTTGTTTTAAGCAATCTTTCAGTTTGAAACATTTAGCACTTGTTCCTTAGTTCAAGGTGTCGTGAGCTAGGCTTTTGAGTCTTCAAAGCGAGTAATGTTTCTAAAAAAGGACTGGAAACACATTAGCCTCAACTGGGGACTCACAACGGTGTTATGTAGTCTGAATAGACAAGCGCACAGCGAGCCTAAATAACCTTACTCGTTTGTAAGCTCTTCCTCACCTAATGCCAAAAAATCAGGATTCCAGTGTATAAATATGGAACTGTCTTTCGCTCTCGATTGTCCAGAATAAAATGATATGCATCTTGAAAGTTCTACTTTCGTCATGTTTTTGTGTCTCCGACATCAGTCAGTGGAATTTGAAATGCTTTTTCTTGGCGAAGATCTAAGACCATTTTGTGCAAGAATTATACTTGTCACCTATTAACCCTTCAAATTGTAATGTCTATATTCAAATTCTCATTTGTTGTCCCTATACATTTCCTATAATAGTAGTTGGGAGAAGTTGTTAAAGAATCTGTGTGATCATGTCCATAAATCTCATGACCACTCTGTTTTCTAAAGCTAGGTATTACAGGGAGAACTTTGATGCTGATCAATCTGAGGGCTCGAAGGGCTAAGCACAGATAGACCATCACATGACAAGATCCTCATAATTTTGTTCCTGTGATAAATTTGTGAAAGTTATAACGGTGACCACTTTACTAGTCATGTGTCGTTTCCCAACTTCTCAACACCATTTCAATTTTTATAATAATAATAATAATAATAATAATAATAATAATAATAATAATAATAATAATAATAGTAGTATGTTTTTATGGCGCATTTAAAGAATTCTCAATGCGCTTACAATAGTCTAAGTGAAACTATATATAGTAATTATTCTTAGAAAGAAAAGTTTTCAAACGTTGCTTTAAAGTAGAAACAGATTCAAAGTTTTTGATATGATCAAGTAGACCGGTCCAGATTATCGATACATAATATGAAAATGAGCGGTGTCTATAAGCCACGGTATTAACAGAAGGAACTTGTAAAAGCAATCTATTAGATGAGCGGAGTAAACAAGCCGGCTGGTATTTGAGAAGGAGTGAAGACAAATAGTAAGGAGCTAAATCGTTTAAATTTTTAAATGTTAAAAGCACTATTTTAAAATCGACGCGTGCGCCAATAGGAAGCCAGTTTTGTACAGACTATTCTTTTTCGTTTTACATTTTTGATTTTCTTTTGGCGTAAAGCAAGTCCATTATTTTTCTTACTAAAGTTCGTTTTCCAGACTTCGCAAAGACACTGAAAAGACTGTCAGTTCAAACTATCCAGAGCTCAAATTCCTTCCCTATGACATGTTCTCGTTCATGTGAAATATTTGCTTTACTGTGCTTTTTACACTTTGGCGAATCTCTGGGTACCGCCAACAATAAACAAAAGGATTTAATGATGAATTCAGGTAAATCAAGAATATAGACGCAAAATTAGCTTCGAGAAATGAAATTTCAGAGGGGTTTATCGAAGACAATATTGTGCATGGCAAAAAGGGAAAATAACAAGCTAAGAAAACTACAGAGACCAATAAACTATTATAGGCTGACTTCCTTTGTCGGTGTGCCTCCCTTGTTTTGGCATTTTGAAGCTGATTTTGACTGTATATCTGATTCTGATGATATTTAACAACTTTGTAAATACGAACATTCGCCAAGGTTGTCAGAACAAATCCTATAACGGAAATAACCGCACCTGCCATTGTAGTGCCTTTTGGAGTGAAAAATAATGTGAAGGCATAGACGCAACTTGTTAACCATAAAGACACCAACACTATTGTAACACGTACGGGCGTGATAAGCTCCTGATAGCGCATATGGAGCGAAATAGCGAGAAGTCTATCGCCTGCAATGACAGTAATATTCAGGAAAGATGCAGCTGCGAGAAGATACATAAAATACGAATGCACGATCAAAACTGTTGGACAAAAGAAGGCCAAGTCGTCTCCACTTGATGCCATCTTCAACATCACGGCACTGATAATAGCGGTCATATGCTGCGAACACAATCCAACTGCAAGATCAGAGAAAGCCAGACTTAGGAAAAGCTTCTTGACGGTAGCTGGTATTGTTGAGTTCTTCATTAAGGCACGGATGACTAAAAGATTTCCTAGAGTCGCCACGAGCGAAAATACAAAGTTTAAAACACAGAAACCAAAGAAGAAACTTCTCCTGTAGGAAACCAGTTTAATCCAACCATCCAGAAATAGAGTGCAGGTCTGTTCAGCCATAGTTTTACTTGTCACAATGTGCATGTATTTGTCGTGGTTAAAACTGATATCTACCTTAATTATCCCCTCCTTTTATTAGCTTTTTTTCACATCGGCCAGCTGCTGTAGCGCGTCATATAGCCGGTTCATTAACTAAAGCCCTCAGACTTAATGTTATAGGTAGAGTGCAAACAGAAATTCAGTGTTATTGTTGGTATAGATTTTTAAGGGTTGAAACACCGAATCAAATGGTACAAAACAAGGCCATCCCAGAAAACAATGCATGGGGAAGGTTTTGCAACACTAGCATTGAAAACAAAAGAATTAAACACCGCAATATATAGTCCTTTCTATAAAGTTCCAATTACCTCTCTGTCCATAATTGACATGTGAGCTGTTGCCTGCTGAGAAGAACCCTTTGTTTAATTGAAAATGCTCGGTACAGAAAATAGAACTTAAATTTATTCTAAAACATTTTAAGGGCGAGTCTTTCCTCTAAATTTAACCGTCCAGCGAAGTTTTGAAACATGATAAAATACAGATGGATTTTGTTTAATTCTATTTTTTTATTTAAAATTTTAAGCATTTTGACGCAATGCTTCAGTTTTAAAACGTTTAACACCTGTTTCAGTAGTAGTTAATAAGGTGACGCCCAGTAGGCGAGGCTTTTTAGTCTTGTAAGCAAGTGAGGTTTTTATAAACGGACTGGAGCCTAACATTATGGATTGTTTTCGTCTTCCTTCGTCTTTCTTTGAGATTTGTCTTAAATGTAGACTTGCGACGGTTTTTCTGAATGGACTAGCGCACAGCGAATGACCTTGCTTATTTGTAAACTCTTTTCTAATGCTAACGAGAAGATGTGTTCGTCTCTAAAGAGCCTCAACATTGCAACTTGCGCTGTTCGCTGTAGCTTACGACCAGGGCGGATAAAGGTTGGGCGGTGAAACGAGCGCTCCGCTCTTCATTCAATGTGTGATGCGGAGTAGGACTGGCACGAACGCTCTTTCCGCGCTTTCGGTACCCTTGAAGGTCGGGGAAATTTTCCATTTGCAAACCGGAAATCCTATTTTCTTTCTGTAATTTCAGGCTACAATGTTAACCAGATAAATTTTTTTCATAACAATATTAATAAACAGTTTCATATGTTAATGTTTGTATGCCTAAGAGTCAAACTTGTTGGTCGTATATTAAATGCCAAAATTTGAGTTCAATTTGAAAGTGTTGAATACCTCCTCCTTCCGATAAACTGAATATGACCTAATCGTCTTTCGCCTTTTCGCTTGCAAAAGCTTAACACTTCTTAACCGTAATGTTTACATATGTTAAAGGCGGATAAATTTTACACAAAAAATTAGCTTGATATATTTTGATATAGTGGCGTTGTACTACTTCAAAGATTGCTTCTCGGGAGCAATGCGCCATGGCGATTCGCGCAATGCGTCGCAAATCCGGCAACCGCATGTAAACAAAATTTATTGAGGTTAATTATAAGGTTTTTTCCTCCGTTTTTCTCTCTAAAACAAAAGAAAGTAAACAGTAAACACTGAGGGAAAACTAATTTTGAAGTTTTGAGGAAAGAGAAAGACGTACGAGATCTTTTTTTCAAAATCAAAAAGAAGGATGATGGTGATTGAAATTAGCATAATTACACCTTGCACGAGCTGTACGCATTTATAAAATACATGCGTCATCTAGTTATGAAAAACCATCTGCTGTCTTTTAGTTTTGCCATGGATGACATGGATGAGATTTTCCTTCGTGTTTTAGACAGTATTTAGTTGTTTTGGAATAACATCGACACTGACGTAATATAACGAAAATATAATTCAGTGGTGGAGTCATGGAAATAAACAGAGAAACCATTTGAAAGAGATGTTTGTTTACTCCAACTAAACCTGCCGCAAAAAATTAGCAACATTTGCCTCTTGGAGACAGCGTACTAGCACAAAGGAACGAGGAAGAAAAGTGTAAGCCGCCATAATTCAGTGGCAACGGCAGTGTCTAAAGGACAAACCACATCGCAAGCCCTGACCGAAGTCGAAAACAGGCGACATTTCTAAACAGAGTCCCAGTCCACTGCATCACACCTTTTTGCTCGGACGCGCTTGTTTCACCGCCCAACCTTTATCCGCCCCACCACCGCGGTCAAACGTCTAAATCGCTTTTTTTGTTTTTTATTGCTGGGATTTCATTGACCAGTTAGAGAAAAATGGGCAAAGATGTATAAATCAGTTAGTCAACATAACTATCTTTCCATTTTTCTCAAAATTTTGAGCTTTTTTTGCTGAAAACGCTTCGCGCTAAAAGAGAATCATGTTTGAAAATGTCGCCGATAATAACGTCAGCATTGGTTTTCAATCACTTAGAACTTTTTTAGTAAACTTTTAAAAAGTTTAGTAAACTAACAGGATGTTAGTAATACCTTAAACTTTCGATAGTGAAAGTAGCAACCTTAACTTTGAAGTATTTCGCTTAACTTTTGCAAATTTCACTCGTTTGACCGCTGTGAAATCCGCCCCGCTTACGACAAGCCATAGGACGCGTCTTATCTCGTACCCAGATCTCCCACGGCCAAGAGAAAGAGAGACTTCATTTTTTTTAATGGAGACATACATACAGTTGTAAGCAACTACTTTGGCTGTCGATTGATCGGATGGAAATCGATTACAGCTTGAACAATGGCCATTTTGTCACATTGTTACTTATTCTTTGCAAGTAATCGGTACAATCACGCTTGTAAGGTTCTTGCGCCATAGCAAACACAGTTTTGTCCATAAAAAGGAGAAAATCCCCTCTTTTCGCTCTAAGAAGTTAGTTGACTATGAAAAAGGGAACTGAGTTTTTCATTAAGCAGATGCCCTAAAGGAGTCTTCTTTTTCGCAATTCGGAGAGACCAGATCGTATTTTGAAGAATTCAATTTTAGGTAGATAGTTATTACAAAAATCACCTTACATCCCAATGTTTAAAATGCTGAATTGAAATTCACTTTTATATGTTAGTCTTTTTGCGCTGTAAGTCCATTACATTTGGTGAAAGTCGTAGACGGAATTTAGTTCAAAGGTGTCTGCTTTCAGGTTCTCTATTAAGAGACCAATTCCAATTGTAGCGACCAATCTTCTCCCGTTTACACCTCCCCTTGGTCCTTGGGCACAGCAAGTCCATTCGCCACTTTTGAAACGATTAGGGCCGAAATATTTCCCGCAATTTTTTCAGGGACTGTTACTCAGCGCCCATCAGCGCGGTCATTTTTGGTCATTTCTCCCTTGTCTCTAGTAACAGTACCAGAAGTCTTTGCGAAAGTTAACTCGTCCCAGTTTCCTTCTACAATTGCTCGTTCTCTGCAAATTTCGTCTCGTAGAACGTCGCATCCTCACGTCATATTCTCGCCCAAACGAAGTATTTTCTTCATTGTGCTTTTTACAATTTGGCGAATCTCTCGGTACCGCCAGCAATAAACAATTGGATTTAATGATGAATTCAG